TTTTCACGTTACACCTGATCCTGTCCTCTGATTGGCCAGAATCGTGAAACCTGGGGTAAAATTAGTAAATGCGATAGTAACGCGGTTCAATTTTATAAACTTTTTTTTTAATTTATTCTAAAATGGATAATAATCTACTTTTATACGTAAACTATACACATTATTAAAAATTTTATTTAGTTAAATATTTTAAAAAAATAAATAACAATATATTGTACAGTACATATATATGTATCAAAAATATCAAATTACTGTATTATCTATTATAGTTTTGTAGCAAGGAAAGGTAAACCATTATTGTTTTTAAATGTTTTTTATTTTTTTTAAAAAACATATTTTAAAAATTTATATATCTTTTAAGTTTTAAGTTTTTGTAAAAAATAATCAATATTTTCTACTACTGTATACACGTATTAAAAAATAAATTGGCGTTAATAATAATAATCGGCATAATTATAATTTTTTGCGGTGACTAACTATTTGATGTTATTAAATTATGTGAACCATATTAAAGAAAGGATGTATGCAATATATATATATATATCATATTAATCTATGTGAATTATAATTTGACTCTAATGTTTATCGCTATTCAAACTATGTTTTAAATTTCAGTCTTCATGCCAACACCAATAAAATTTTCGGAAGGAATGTACCAACTACTATAAAGTTCTCTTGAATTATTGACTAAAAATTTATAATACTTAACCAAATATCTTCTCCACCATGGAGAACCAGATTTTGGTGAAAAAATTTGATGCCCAAAAACATATGTAACAGGTAATTCTTGTAGATCTATTTTTTCTGATAAATGTTTATCAGCAAATTGTATTGAAGCAACTAGTTTAGAAATAAATTCTTCTCCATGTATGACATCATCCATGTAACCATATCTTGAAACTATTTGATAACAACCATCATAATCGCCGATTTTACTGACTATCAAACGATCATCTTCACTAACATGCGGAATGGCTACGTGATGAATAGTCATGAAGATAATTATTTGAGGTAATGCAGGAAAATGGTTTATAAAATGTGTAAATGAAAGTGGGATGCAAGAACCGACATCACTATAGAATAGAACGATACCCGGTAGTCGCGTTATTAAAAATCCAGTATCCAACATACGAATTCTTGATGTTTTTCCAAACTGTCGTATTATATTTCTTTGTAAAATTGTTTCTATAGACTTAACAGAGAAATTCGAAAAACTATTTCGTGCTGGATTTTTGGAACTTTCTTTAGGCGCGCCATTCTCGGAAACATCATTTTTCTCCGCAATCATACTCAAAGGTGGAGTATGATGTATAACTTCAAAAATTTCATCGAGATTCGTACTCTGCAAAGATTCGTATTTCACCTTGCGACTTGTACCCCATCTCCATAAACCCATGATAACAAAAAGAATCGTCGCAATAATTAGAGGAAACCAAGCACCATGAAGTAATTTTTCTGTGGATTGACTTAAAAATACTCCATCGACTAAACCAAAAACCAATAAAAATGTGATCGGCAAAATTAGACGGAAGTGCCAAACAACGTGCATTATGAGCGATACAAGAATTGTCGTTATAAGCATCACCAACGAAATAGCTAACCCATAAGCTCTTGCCCTAAAAAAAAAAAAGATAAAATAAAAATAAAAAATAAAATAAAATAATAAGAATACATTAATATAAAAAAAAGGAAACCCTTTAAAAGAAGGAAACAAAGGTATTACAAATTCTCGGATTTACTGAAAACAACACAGATGGTTATGACCATAATCATCAAAACGTAATTGATCTATAGTGATAATAATAATCAACGTTAGTTCATCTTTCATAGAACATGTATTGTGACAGATTAACATGAAATCAGGTTAAAATGAAAAGGTATGCATTTTGTTAGGCTTTTTTTTTTTTTTTTAAGGTTTGAGTTAGGTTTAGAGTTAGGATTGTTAATAGAAGAATATAAATGAGTTTTAATTAGAGTTTTAAAAAAAAATTACTAATTTCATTTTATGATTTCATTTTAATCTGCGGCATATATTACCGAGGAAAGTATGCTGATAGTATTCTTATATACTTTTTATAATTTTGTACACGTAAAACATATAATTAAAGAATACCTCAGGAAGATAAATTTGACCTTTAACTTTTTTTGATGTATGAATAACCTTTTATCAAATAATGAATAAATATATGAATAAATAAATGAATAGATAAATAATGAATGAAATTTCTTACATCAATTCTTGGGAAGCAATCCAGTTGCATTGATTGATAAATTAGGGAAAAAGTTGCGGTAATCATAGCTTGAGAAGCAATAATTGAAGTCAAAGTAGCCAAAATAGTCATAAACCAATAAACAACTGGGTGAGAAGGAATAGAATGCCAAAACGGATTGACATGTTTGTTGGGATCCACAATCAAGTTTGCACCTTGACCCATGTATGTGAACAACAAAGGAATGTAAACAAAGAATGGAAAGGATAATTGAATTGACCTTCGATTAAAATGTCCTAGGTCCGCAAATACTGCCTCGGTTCCAACGAATGCTAGTATAACTCCGCCAAGATGTTGATATCCAGAATCTAGAAGGACGAACTTAATGGCATAGTAAGGATTGAAAGCTTTCAAGATTTCTGGAAACTTAGTTATATTCCAAATGCCAATAACGGATAGAGAAATAAACCAAAGAGAAATAATTGGGGAAAATAAATCACCGACTCTTGCCGTGCCAAATCGTTGCCCCAAGAATAGTATAATAAGAATAACACTTGTTTTTAAGAAATAATCTTAAGTGAGATTATTATACGTACGTTTATGGTGCATGAGTTTAAATATAGCATAATTACCAGCTCACAGGAACATTAATCCAAGTTAACTCTTGTGAATGTAGTGTAAAACCCTCAATAGCCGAAATTACCGATATAGCAGGAGTTAACATGCCATCGCTGATTAACAAGGAAGAACCAAGCATGACAATTATTAATAACAAATTCTGTATGAATTTACTACGTTTGATAATGTTCGGACCGTTATTAAGATTTGGCTCGGAATTGTAATTTACTATAGTCTCGTCATCCAATCTCGGAGCCTCGGCAGATATAGAGAGTCCGGAGTGTCTAAACAATAATAATGGATTTTATTATTTTTATTTATATAAGTAAAAAATGGTTGCCGGTGAAAATTTATTTTTATTTATATAATGTAAAAAATGGTTGCTGGTGAAAATTTATTTTTATTTATATAATGTAAAAAATGGTTGCCGATGAAAATTTATTTTTGTTTAATGCCGGTGAAAATTTTACACAGCATCACGTGAGTAAGAATAAATTTTACCTGACTAATAGTGAATATAGAGCAAAAGGGCCACCTTCACCATTATCATTCGCTCGAATGACAATGAAAATATATTTGATCAACGATATAACAGTCTGAAGAAAAAAAATGTTAACATTAAGTATATTTTGTCGCTGATTGGCTAGAGTATCTGGCGATCATTCAATTTTACCGACAGCCATTTCGCCTACAAAGTTGGTCTGATTTAGTTAGAATTGGCCTAATTTATAGCGATAGTTAGTTAAGAGTAGATTGTTGGTGAAATGTCTGTCGGCGAATTCTACTAGATCCATCTAATTAGTCGTTTTTGAATTGGTCAAATTTACAATTTGATTGACTAGTAATAACATGATTGAAAATTCATATAATAAATTTACCAAAGACCAGATAGTCAAAGACACGACACCTAAGCAATTTAAGAAATGAATGAAGTTTAAAACAAATCAAAGATTTGAAATTAATCAATTAATCCCCCGATCGCTATATCAAAACCACGAGGAATTATTATGATTAACGTACAGTGCTAAACCACCAATCCTAATGCTAACGCCAACTATCACGTGACCATACACTGTCCGTAGAAATTTTGTTAACATACCGTAGACCATACCCTGCCATTTGGGTGGTTCCGAAAAGATTCCATTGAATACTATAGGATTCATAAATATGATTCATAAATATGAATGAATTAAATATATTTAATTGAAAAACAGGAACGAGATCTCACCATACATCGGTGCCGCACCAATGTCTCCATAGACAATACCTGACGTTTTAATCAAGATTAGAAATAATCAATTGCTCGAAAAAAAATATCAATGAGTAACACGCGTATACCTAAAGCTTTAAAGGCTACAGTAATAGTTCCAAAAGCTCCAAGATAAGACTATTACAATAATTGCATAGTTAATAAAATTAAACATATATGCTGGTATTTGTAAATTTTTAACATTGTAGCTCACCTTGTTTGTTAGAGTCTCTAAATCCGAATCAGCAATATCTGAGGAAATTTCATCTTTGGTTTCGTTTATGTCATAATTGTCATTAGAAGCCATTATTAATTATGATTAATGACCATGAAGAAAGAGAAACTCGAGATTTGACGTTATTTTATATGTATAATAAAATTAATGATCCACATGCACACATGTCAAAATTTAAATTTTGTCGTTACGAAGTTGCCAAATGTTAAAGATCTACACGGTTATGCAAACAGATCCGATCCGATAACTGGTTTTTTATAGTCGTACATAACAAGTATCAAAATTGAAAATTATAATAAATGAAAAGTCCTTTTTTAGAAACCATAGTAACTTTAATCAATAACAGATACGTAATAATTCTTGGAAAATTCGTATTTGAATCATTTTCCATTAAAATGCTACTATAATAAAATGGTAAACATGATACAGTTAATTGATATAAACAAAATAAGCGAAAATTATTTCTAAATATATGTAACAGCGAATAAAAATTCTTTTGCTAGACCAATAAAGTCACATTTTCTCCCCAACGAACATGATAATTATGCTTCCTTTGCTTCTTATCAATAATGGAAGCTTCATCTACACACATTCTTTTTTGATCGACCATCATTTCGTTAGCAGAATTGTTATTTGACATATAATGCATATTGTCGTCAATTAACATATCATCTTGTTCCTCGACACCACTATCATCTTTTTCAGTCATTATTTCATCGAATTCTTTATTATCTTGCGGTATCAACTCGGACTTATCATCATTATTTACCATTATTTCGAAGTCCAAAAGACATGGATCATTACCATCAGAAATAGCAAGTGCAATTTTCAAATCTGATTCATCAAGTTCTTTTAAAACGTGACTCGTAAACATTGAATCACCTTTACTGTATACATATTTCAAGACTTGGCATCTCAATTTATTCAGACCTAGCCATTTAGAGATTCTTAAAGTAACTTTCCAGTGTTGTTTATCCCACTATCAGGCAAACATGTGTTAAACGTTAATCGAAGGTTAAAAAGTAACAACAAATGTTTTGTAAACTTGCCATTTCATGCAACATTTCATCACAAATCTGCAATAATTCAGGCACATCAAATTTATTTTTTGACGCAAGATATGCGAGAACATACAAGTTTTCTTTTTTTCTTTCTTTCATTGGATAACCGTACCTGTTATATTAAAAATAGTGCACGGATCAGTATGATTGTCCATACAGTGAGGTAATAATGGATTTTTCTTTGCCAAGTATAATATATACTTACAGATACGCAAGAAAATTTCCAAAATCAGTCCAAGTATATTTCATTTCACATTCTGGATCACCTTTATATTCATTCAACTTTGTAATGAAGTTTCTTTTAGAACAGCTATAATCGTGTAACAAGATTTCGTGATCTTCTTGCACAACATAACCGAAATTACTTTGCTTTGCTCTTTGGTATTTAAAGTATTTATTCCAAAATCCAGAGGTTGCATATAATACACAAACGTGAGAGTGAAAATGAATATTATCAACTCGTAAAATTATATCTGCAGTATTTACATCATTGAATAACGGTTGAAGAAATGCATGAGAAATCTCCATGTTTTCCTCAAGAGGATAATGATTTGGTGTATTCTTATTTATAGAGAAAAACGTATTAAGATTAATAATAGTATTTAAACTTAAGTGGTCATTCCAAACTTGTTAACTGTCACTTTACACCAAATTTCACAAAAATATCTGACTTAACAACTCTCTTTGTTGTTTTAATATGCAATGATTTAAAATTATAAATATCGAATGACAAAATACTAATTAAACGTACGTTTATATGCATTGCATTCGTATTCATTATATACTTTGATACGATTCTTTTCTAAAATGACATACCAAATTACCTAAATTACCTAAAATTATCCAAAATTACCTAAAATAATCTTAAAATTATCTTTGAGGAAAAAAATAGAAAAGTTATAATGCTAGTAATGCTAGAAAACCCTGGAAATTTTTTTTTTGTGTACATATAGTCATGTGATTCTACGTGTAGTAAATATCATCAATTTTTTAAGATATCGTCATAACGATAACGATAACGATATTTTTTTTGTAAGAATGACGTGATTTTATTTAAATAATCATCAACTGATCGTGGTAATTACGAAAGTTTATTTAAATCGGTTTTTTTTAAATTATAAACTTTTACTACTTTTACTTTCTACTTCATCGCAATATTACTGAAAACTGAAAGCAGATATGACACGAACAAAACATTCTGAAACACCTGGTGCTCTTAACAAGGATCGCCACCTTCAAAGGTATTGTTATTTCTATTCATATTAAAAAAAAAACGCACATTTTTTGGTTCTTTTCTAACGTTGGTTTTTTTTTTATAGAAATGGATATATGGATCCCCGTGGTATGCCAAAGAAGGTATATAAAATTTTGAAGTTAAAATTTTTTGAGCAATTTACTTTTAAAAAAAAACAATTTTTAATTTACCATATATTTGTCATGAAAAAATTATATTAGGAAGGTGCAGGTCAACACAATTGGGGTAAAGCTATTGACGAAGCTGCAGAATTGGATGAACATTACGAATTTGACAATGAAATGCCTCAGTATGACAAAAATGCGGTTTTCAATTCAAAGGCTGCAGATACGGCCAGAGAATTCCCAAAAATAAAGGTTTGTATATTACGTAAAATAATGTTAATTGGACATTGTGAAAATTAATGAGAAGTTGATTTAGAAATCAACTAACTATTTTATAATCTACTAAAAGGTGGTTAATTCGAAAGAATTTAAAGAACTTCATAAATCAGCTTAATAGAGGCTCTATCAAAACAAAAAAAAACTATGAGCGTCTTGTATTTGGATTATAACAGTTTTATTTAGTTTTTAGTTTATTATTTATTATATATTATGAATAAACTTGTATATATTCTTTCAATAATTAAAATTACAAGTTTTCCACTTATAATTGCTGTAATGTGTATTCCATGAGTATAGTGTATATGCTGTTAGTAATTGAATTAGACCTTCAGTTGCGTTGCTTATTTTGTGATTTCGAAGTCTATGTTATTCTGTAAACCGTTTGTACACATGTGGGTCAAGGTATTTTTGATTAATACCCTATAGTCTTGTAGAAACTAGGAAAATAGGCATCGTTTGAACCTGGCACGCATAGGAGAAAGTCATGAATATATTAAATTATTATGTGTATATGGTCAACTCTCCCAACCGAACCCTTGGATAAACCGAATACTTAAGAAACTCTAAATTTTATTACAAAGTTCGGTTTAGATATTAGGTCTACTCTTTAAAATGATCTTTACTAATAAAGCGTGCCTATAACTGTATAAACATCATGTATGCATTTTTTGCACCCTAAACATTTCAGCATACCAACAGTGGCATGCCATTTCCAGGTTCACTGTTGGATGTCTGGAGCAAAATGTTATCTGCTATGATTAACATGATGATCATCGGATCTAAAAAAAAATATCGATATATAAATTACAATTATTTCCCCATTTGGTCCTCCTGGATAACTTGGCAAAAAAATTTTTTCCCAAATTTTTCTTTGCGGTGAATATGGTAAATACGATAGATATGTCTATTATTTTTTGCTATTGTTTTTTAAATACAATGATGATTAAGGCATTTGTCTGCTTCTTCACGTTTTGTGAAATGATGAAAATACGACTGCTACCTATTCAATGTCATTACCTGATACTTAGTTCTTCTAATATATATGAATCATGTCTTTATTAAGTCATGTAAAATTAAATTATTTATTTATTAATTTAGGTTATATTTCATTTCGTTGATTCATGAGCTCGAACTTTAAATTAATTTAAAGTCAATTATATATTTGGACAAAACTTTTAACCGAAACAAAGTTTTAATGTATGTAATATATATACTGTATATTACCGATTAAAAGCAATCAAATTGTTCCAAAAAAAAAATATTTTTTGTGATAGATAAGGTTGTTTATGTTTTGTCATAATTTTATCGTTATTAATGAACAAATATGATATCCTTTCCTAGATCTTCAGTTCGGATTCGGGAGTGTTGCTTTAGTCGGTAAAAATACCATCCATTCATGTGAAATTTTAAGATAAACCGACCTAAGTCTTATCTAGGTTCGAATCTAATACAAGGTCCGAACGTTAAATTAATATATGATATAAAAGGTCCGAACGTTAGTTAATAACTAGGGATGTTAATGGAGTGCTCCAGGGTGGTGTGGTGCATACTCTGGCAGAGTATTCCTTAACACCACACCACACTG